GCTAGTTGTAAATATAAAATAATACTTAATTATACCTATAATATATTATCTACTAGTTATGTAAATAAACCCCTTTTATCTTTATTAATTACCTGCTAGTTTAGCTTAGCCTATTTGCTAATATAAACCTAGTATAAGGTTTATCCCTTAGGAATTTCTCTTATACTAATACTATAGGAGCTTAGCTTATTATACGTTTATAACTCTTATTTAAAGGTTACCTTAGACTATAGGTAATATTATTATAAGGATATTAAATAGTTAAATTTTATATACTAGACGTTAGAATAGATTAAGAAAGTGTTACCCTAAGTTATAAAGATAGTAATATAGAACTTAAAGAAGTATTTAAAGTTAAAATAGCTGGCGAAGATCCTTAACCCTAACTATAACTTTCTTAGGAGTAATAGCAGGCTAAGATTCTAGCTCTTAAGGAAGAAATTACTAAACTTAAAGCTAAGAAAAAGAAAAAAGGAAAGATCCTTTAACTTAAGCGCTTTAATCCTTATAATAGAGAACCTAAGAATATAAAAAAATACTTTACTAAATTTAATATTTACTTTAAATACTTTTTAAATACTTTAGAAAATAATAAAGATAAAATAATCTTTACTATTACCTACTTTACTAAAGTAGCTAAAGAATAGTTATAACCTATTATATAAGACTTTAAAAAAAATGCTTTAAGTAAGTGGAAGACTTAAACCTAAGAAGTCTTTACATCCTACTAATACTTCCGTAATTAACTTAAGAAATTATTTAAAACCTTAAACAAGGAATAAGAAGTAGAACGGAAACTTTGATTTATTAAATAAAAAGGATAATACTTTAAATATATAATTATATTTATATAACTCCTTACTAAGGTTAATTAAACTAAGGATAGTAAGAAGGAAGTATATTATATAAGCCTTAAACCCTTAGTTAAGGATAAGTTATATAAAGTTAATAAAAAGATAGTAAGCTTTATTAATTATACTTAAATAGTAATTAGTATTAATAATTGCCTTTAGGAAAAGGAGTAAGAAAAGAAAGAGGAAAAACGTAAGAATTTTTAATAACCTAAATAAAACTCTTAATAATATACTAACTAAGGAAGGAAGCGTAATATAGCTTTATATAATAATAGAAAATTAAGACTTATAGATCTGGATATTATTAATACCCGTAAGTTTATAGGTAAATATAACTACTGTAGTAAAATAGGCTATAAAGAAAAGGACTACTAGAAGAAGTATAGGAGACCTAATAATTCTAAGAAGTTTAATAATAATAAGAAGGTTAATAAGGTTTAAGTTAATATTATTAAAACAGTACCCTATAACCTGCTTAGTTAGACTGGGTGTTATAATAAGTAATACCTTATATATAAAGAAGAAAAGGAAATATTAAACTAATATCCTAAAGCACCTAAGAAAACGCAGCTAAAATATATTATAGTTAATACTATAACTTTTAAAAAAGTTAGCTAATAAATAATTAACTAGGCTATTAACGATATACCTATAGCTATTACTACCCTAGGAAACGCTAATATAACTTAGGATAAATATAAAGAAGTATAAAACAAAGCCCTTAACGTTTTACCTATAGAAGAAGAAAGGGAATAAGTAAACGCTTTTATCTGTAAATAGAGGGAAGAACCCGGACAAGAGACGGGTTATACCGACCTTAATATTGCAGAACTATGCGAAAACTGTAGATTATAAGAACCCTAGGGACCAAATTACCCCTACGGATGGAAACCCTCTGACCACGGTTTAGAAGAAACTTAAGAATAAGACCTAAGTAAATTTTAATAAATGCTTAAATAGCATAGAATTACTTAGTAATAAGTACTAAGTAATAATAGGTTAGCGGAGTACGCTAGCGTAGATCCCTACTACCTTATTATAACTAGAGATTAGTTCCTTAAATAAGAAAAAATACAGCTTATATATAATACCTTATTTACAGAAGACTATAGGTATTTAATAGTAAAATAATACTATAAAATACTTTATAAAGAATACTAGGAATAAAAGATTTATAATTAGCACCTCTGGATTTAATATAGAAACCTATATAATAAAATTTATATAGAAATTAATCTAGATTAGTACCCTAACTAAGGATGTAGATAATACCTTAACTATAAGGTTAAAGAATAGTATATATAAAGGGAAGCCTGTTTTAAAAACAACCCTCTGTAATATAAGGATAAACATTGTAAAAAGTATTATAGAGAAAAAGAAAAATATATCTGACTTTAATACTGGTTATACTATAACGGATTTAACTTTAAGACCTATAATAAAGGTAATGCCTATAAAAAGAATATTAAACGCTTTTATAAATACTATATCGACGAGATTAATACTAATAAGTGCTAATAGTGCCAAAAACTTTAATAATAATAAAAACGATAATAGATAAGTAAGGATTTTAATATTATTATTAAGGATAACTATAATCCTAATTAAAAAAAGGATATATAAATTAATATAGTTAAAATAACTGGAATAAAGAAATTTAGAATTAATATATAATTTAATAATAGTACTGTTACTGCGTATATTAATAGTAGAGCAGACTGTAATCTGATTTTACTATAACTAATTAAGGAACTATAAATTCCTACCTAATAGAAGGAACGAATACTATAAATTATAAGCGTTACGGGAGCAGAAGTAGAAGAAAGACTTATTAAATATAAGACTAATTATCTCCCTATAACTATTAATAGGAATACCTATAATATCTAATTTAGTATTTTAAATATATTAAAAAATAATATCTTTTTAAGCTATCCTTAGTTACTTAATAATAACCCTATTATTTAATAAAAGACTAAGAAGGTTTATTAGGATATTAAAGATATACCTAAATATTAATTATATTAAAGGGAATAAAAGGGCGAAGCTGCGCTACTGAAAGATTTAAAATCCTTTGCGTTAATTATAAAGAAAATAAAAACAGTTAGATTTAAAGAAAATAAATTACTAGTACTACTATAATATAATAAACGACATAAGAAAGTAGAATACATTTGCATTAATAGAATTATAATATAATTTAAAGATAAGCTAGTAGTACTTAATAATACACTAAGTAAAGTATAAAAAAAAAAGGAATTAGGAAAACTTAATAATACTTTTGCTAAAATACCTCGCTAGTATAAGAAGTTCCGAAAACTATATAAGGTAATATTAAATACTAGGTTACTACTATACTTACAGTAGGACTACTATATTAAGTTAGTAGATAGAAAATAACCTAAGACCTATAAGATTTATAACCTTAATGAAAAAAAGCTTAAGATTCTAAAGGAATAGTTAAATAAGTAACTAAAAAAAGGATATATTTAAGTTTTTAATTTATTAGTAAAATACCCTATAATATTTATACTAAAGAAAAATAGGAAGTTATAATTAATTATTAACTACTAATAACTTAATAAGATTATTATTAAAGATTAAATACTACTACTGCTAATCTCTAAAATTAAAGATAGGCTAGCTACTGTAAAATAGTTTACGGCTTTTAACTTAAAAGGAGCCTATAACCTTATCTAAATTAAGGAAGAAGATAAATAAAAAACAGTATTTAAAATACGCTATAGGTTATTTAAATATTTAATTATACCCTTCGGACTTACTAATACACCAGCTACATTCTAAAGAATAATTAATGAAGTCCTTAAGGAATATATTAATAGGTTTATTATTATCTACCTTAATAATATACTAATCTACTTTAATACTTTAGAAGAGTATAAACAATATATATATTAAGTCTTAGAAATACTATAAGTAGTAAATTTACTAATAGAACTAAAGAAATGCTAGTTCTATATCTAAAAAGTTAACTTTTTAGGATATATTATTTCACCGGGATAAATTAAAATAGACCCTGCTAAAATAGTAGCTATTAAGGAATAGAAGGTCCCTAAAACCGTAAAGGAAGTATAGAGCTTCCTTAGTCTAGTGAATTACTACTAAAAGTTTATTAGGAACTATAGTAAGATTATAATACTACTTATAGATTTTACTAAAAAAGATCCTAACGATAAGGTTAAGAAGAATTAACTAATTAAATACATAAGGAAGGCCTTAGAAGCCTTTAAAGTGCTTTAAGAAGCTATTACTAGCGCACTAGTACTATAAATATACAACCCTAAGAGGCCCGTTATTATTAAAACAGATGCCTTAAACTACGCAATCAGAGGGGTTCTTAGCTAATAAAATAACAAAGGAATACTATATCTAGTAGCCTTCTTTTCTAAGAAACTCCATAGCCCTAAATTATAATATTCTATATATAACTAAAAACTTATAGTTATTTTTAAAGTATTTAAAAAATAGAGATTATATTTATTAAGTAATAAATATAAGATTACTATATATTCCAATTATAAGAATCTTATAAGCCTAGCTATAAAGGAAATAAATATCTTTATACAGTAAGAAAAGTATCTTAGGCTTATAGCTAAGTATAACTTTAAAATTATACTTTATAAAGGATTAGAAAATAGTTAAGTAAATACTTTTAGCTGTAGAAAAGACTACTTTAAACTAATACTAAAACTTACCTCGCTAATATTTTAAAAAACAGCAGAAGGCTACTATAAACTAATAGCTATTAACACCCTCTTTATAATTAAAGACGGAAACCCTATTCTTAATAAAATTAAGGATAAAGTTAGTAACTGGATATTAAATTAGTTCCTTAAAGATATAACCCTTACCGAAGGAATTCCTTATAAAAATAAAAAAATCTAGGTATTAGAATTACTATAAAAGGAAGTAATAAAGATAGTTTATAAACATCTACTATATAGATATAAGGGAGTTACTAAGATACTGTAATAAGTATAATAGTATTATACCTTTATAAGTATAAAGAAAGTTATTAAAGGAATTGTTTAATTATATATTTTATATACAAAAATAAAGTCTAGTTAACAAAAACCTTATAGTAAACTACAACTATTACCAGTACTAAAGTACCCTTAGAGCTTTATCTTATTTAATTATATTATTAAGCTGCTACTATTAAAGGAGCCTATAATAAATATAGTATATAATAGTATCTTCGTTATTATTAATAAATTAATAAAACAAGGAATCTTTATTTTATATAAGGAAGGTAGTATAGCAGAAGAATTAGGCTATATAATATAAAAGTATATAGCCTTAAAACATAGATTACCTATAGAAATTATTTCTAATAGAGGATTAACGTTTATATTTAAATACTAGTAAAGCGCTATAGTAAGAATAGAAATAAATTATAAAGCTAGTACTGCTTACTACCCTTAAATAAATAGATAAATAAAATACGCTAACTAAATCGTTAAAGTATACTTACGAAATTACATTAACTTTAACTAAAATAACTAAGTTAAGTACTTACTAAACGCAGAATTCTCCTATAATAATTTAGTTTTAGAATTAATAAAGCTCTTGCTATTTTACGCTAATAAAGAATACTACCTATAAGTATATAAAATACTATAAAAAGGAAAAGATATATAAAAAGCTATACTTAAAGTAAATAAGCTTAAGGAATTATACTAAGAACTACGTACGTAACTTAAACTTATGTAAGAATGTATAAAGAAGTATATAGATAGGAAAAGGCTTAAAGAACTAACCCTTTAGGAAGGAGATATAGTCTACCTACTTTAATATACTTAAGGAGAAAAATAAGCTAATATTAAAATAAATAGGCTAAGCAATAAGCTAGACTATAGGAAAGTCGGGCTTTATAAAATTTTTAAAAAAATTAGCGAAGTTAACTATAAACTAAACCTCCTAGAGTAACTAAGTAAATAAGGAAAACTAATATACCTGATTTTTTACGTCTTACTATTAGAAAAAGTATTAATAAATAAAAATACAGGAGAACTTATTAAGGATAAAATTATTATTAAAGGTAAAGAACTTAAATATAAGGTTAATAAAATAATATTACTAAAAATAAATAAAGTAACTGGTGAATTTTAATACTTAATAAAATAGAAAAAATATAATAGGGATATAGATAGCTGGGAATTAAAAAGTAATTTTAAATACGCTAGCGTTACTTTAAAAACCTTTTAAAATAAACTTTATAAATAAT